ATGTCATTTGATCCTCACGTCCCTGATGCCCCTCTTACAGGTGGGCAAGTGTAGCTCCGGAGACCAGAGCCGGGATTTGAGCCCTGTGTCTCTCCACGTCATCGCATTGCCTCTGGAACATTCCCAGGGTATTTTACAGAAACCTGGCCAAAATCAGAGGCCCCCGGTTGGGGGCAGAGACTAGAGAAGTAGGCAGAGTGGCTCAGAGGGCACGAGACTGACTGGGGCCTGGGATTGATGGAACCGTGGGAGGAAAGGGTTAATGGGCTACTGGTGTCGGGCTGGGGATTGGGGGGGTGCTCAGGCGGAGGTGCCCGGCAGACATTCCCTGAGGTCACATGGGAGAAATTTCCAGGAAGATACTTAAGGCCTTCAGAGTGAGTTCCCTTAAGTGAGTACCTCTGCCGAGACCTGTCCTGGGGTAGTGAGAGCAGATGGCTGGAGCCCAGCTGGGGGGTGCCCAGGCCCCAGAGGGAGAAGTGTGGGCTCACCAGGACCTCCCCACATCAGCCTCCTCTGTCATCCATGGAAGAGTCCCTGCCAGGCCAAGGCCAAGGCTGTTTCTTGCCCATTCACTCCACCGGGCCCCCCTTCCGCCCTCCAGCAAGTGCCCTACGGAGCCATGTTGGATGGGGAGGAATGGATTCCCGCCCCAGACCCCTGTGGATCCAGAAGACCAGGTGAGACACTGCAGTTCGCTAGCAATGAGGGTTTCCTGCTGCTGCTGGTTGGCCAGAGGAGAGACAAGAGAGGCGCCTAGTAGACTGAGCACCTTGATCTTTGAAGGGGTGGGCCTTTTTAGGAATGAACGGAGGACAAGGGGCAGATGTGGGGAAGGAAGACTTCGCTGGGGGTCAGAGGCTAGGCACATATATCCCTTTCCTCCTCCGTCCCTTTGTTAACCAAAGCCTGTCTGGAGGGCTCGCCAGTCTGGAAGACGGTGGCTTTCTCCCAGACTCCAGAGCTGACAGGCCTGGCTGGTTGGTACTTGTGAGACGAGGGTGAGACATAACACCTCGGGCTGCAAGGCCAACTATCGGGTTCCTGTAGCACCCACACTCCTTGACCCAGAGCTCACATGCCCTTTACATGCAGCCAGAATTAAGCCGTAGGATGAGCCCAAATGCTCTAAAGCTGTTCTACCTTCTCCTCACCAGCAAAGGGCCCTCCCTGAATGTTCTCACCTCTTCCCCCCACCCGGCCTGCTGGCTGCGTGGCTAGGCCTGGCAAGGGCACCGACCCCCAGGTGCTCTCAGCGTCTGGGCCAGTCGCAGGGGCGACAGCAGGGGAACCGCGTGCTCCCTCACAAAGCCCCTCCAACACAGGGCGGTGGCATCTGGAAGACAAGGGGGCTCTGACCGCGGTTGTCACCCTCTCCCTATTCCCAATCCCAGATAAAATTCTCCCTCCTGGGGCGCCTGCGTGGCTTGATCGGTGAAGCATCCGACTCTTGATTTTGGCTCAGGTCACGATCTCACAAGTTTGTGAGTTCGAGCCCCGCACTGACAGCGTAGAGCCTGCTTGGGATTCTCTGTCTGCCTATCTCTCTGTCTCTCTCAAAATAAATAAGTAAACTTAAAAACACACACACACACACACACACACACACACACACACAACAACAACAACAAAAACCCTTCCTCCTGCTGCGGCCTCCTGCTGCTGCCCTGGGAGAGGCACTGAAACCAGGGAGAGGTGGGGAAACCCTGAGCCAGGTTGAGGGAGGATAGGAGAGGCCCTCTGCTGGTCTGGGGACCAAAGCCCCTCACTTTGTTCTACTGCCTCCACTCAAGCCCCATCTGTCAGCCTCCTGGCCCCTTCTCGTGAGCCCCGAGCCACAGTAGCCACAGAGGGTGGCCCTCGGCTGTCAAGAGCTCCCAGACAGCTGTTTCACACTGGTACTACCCATGAGATCCAGAGTATCCCTGGGTCCCTCGGGACATCACAGTTTTAAGGCAGCCAGGATACATAGCCCGTTCCTGTAATTGGCCCAGAGGGGTAGGGGACTCGCTCACTGTCATTCGGCTTAGTTAGTGGCAGCCAGGATGGGGCCAAATGGAACTTAGCTTCCCTGATTCAGAGCCGGTGCTCCTTCCCTTCAATTGTTGGCTGTCACCTGGCTTCCAGTCTTGCTCCCCCTCCTAGAGCCCAGCTGCAGAGTCCCCAACAGTCCCCGCGTGCTCTTCCTTCGTGGGGACAGAGGATTGGGAGGGGTTGGTGCCCTCTGCATCAGCGTCTTCTGGCTCCCGTCACCATTTCCAGCCCGATTCCCGACCCTTTGCATTGTCCAGCTGCCAAGAGCCTGTCTGTCCCCAGCCCTTATGTGGGGCAGCACTCGGCACCCCGGTTACAACCTGTCCCCCTGTGGTCCTTTCGTCTCTCCTAATGGCAGGATGGGGGGAGCGTTCTCATTGTTCTGGGTCCCATTTTACAGGTTAGGAGAGACAGGAAAGAGCGTATGTGACCGGCCGAGGGCCACAAGACTGGTTGGAGGCAGAGTTGGGACTCAGACCTGAGTCTCCTGAGGCCAAATTGCATGCCCTCTCCATCCGGCTGGCCAGAGTCTAAGGAGGACAGGCTCCCTCCCAGCTGGAGTGGGTGATGCCACCCCTCCCCCGGCTGGCCTGGAGCCAACGTCCGCTGTATTTGTCACACGCATGGTCCCTTTGACCTTGTTACCTGACCTGGCTCCCAGGGTCTTAAGCTTGTATAGTGTGTGTGTGTGTGTGTGTGTGTGTGGCCCGAGAGGAGTGGCTCAAGTACAAAGAAGAAAAGCACATTCGTCTAACAAAAACATATCAATTCAATTACCTTGATTTACATAGGTGGTTTTTTTCAGAACAGGGACTGAATACATTTTTTTGGAAAGCAAAGGGCAGGAGATTGGAGGGAACGATCACCGGGAAGGGGTCCCCTTCTCTAAAACTTTAGAGGTGCCACTGACTTACCTGCATTTTGCACGTTATTCCCAGCAGGCTAGGAATCCGTAGCCAACATTTTACTAACTTAGGGTCTGTCTCTCGGAGTTCTAAGAGTAATGTCATTGCATTTCCTTCTGGGGAAAAGTCCTGCATTTGGAATGAGCAGGCCTGGACGCAGCTTCCTGACACCCGTGTGTGGTAGGACATCGCAGGGGTGAATCCTAGACACTGAGGGTGTCAGGACACACTCTTCTCAACAAGAGAGAGGCTGGGTCCCGACCAGGACCTTTGGCTTCACCCCGGCAGGAAAAGGCCTCCCTCTCTTGGGCCTGCCTGGGGCCAGGGTGGACGGCGGGCTGCCTGGGGCTGGTCTGGCACTTCTGGGTCTTGGACCCAAAAGGTTAGGGCCCCCTCCTGTCTGCTTCACCCATTCTGTCAGGAGGCAGGGGTCTGGCCTCTTTCCCTCAAGTCCTCCCTCAGGGGAGCAGGAGGCCGGGCCCCTCAGCCTGATCCCAGATACCCTGCCCCCCCCCCCCCCCCCAGTGAACCTGGGGTGGGGGAACAGGTGTCAAGGGCCCTGTAGAAATACACTCCTGCTTCGTGTATGTCTCTCCAGCAACTCAGCCCTGTCCACTGAGCCCAGTCATGCCGAGAGGGCCCTTCGTGGGGAACCAAGGCCCAGGAATCCTCCCAGTGTCTTTGGGGGTGGTGGGAGGCCAGAGGGCCCAGCCTCTTACCTCCGGAAGCTCTTCTCGCCTGGTGTCCGGGAGCTGGGGCGGGAGCCAGGGAGCAGTCCATCCGTCTCCTGGCTGTCCTTCTCTTCCTCATGAAGGGACTCATCCCCCAGGAAGTCTCCATCATCCCAGGAGCCCACCGTGCCATCTGTGGCCTGATATCGGACCTCCACGCACAGGCTGGTCTGGAGGGAGAGGGGCGGGTGGTGAGCGAGGGTACAGCAATAGCAAACACCATCCCGCGCACTCCTTGTGCTGTTTACAAAGTGCTTTCACTTCCTCCCCCCCCCCCGGCCAGAGGAAGGCAAAGTGCGTATTAGCCTCCCCACACCTCCCATTTTACAGATAAGAAAACTGAGGCTCAGAAAGACTGAGACTCACAGACTCAGTCCGCTTAACGGGTTCTGGCCCCTGGTCCTGCTGCACTTGGCTCTACTCCTCCCTGGTGCCCAAGGTGGAGGGCGCGCCCGGGACAAGCTGAGCCCAGACGGCAGTAGGCTCTCTGGGCCCACTGTCTACGAAGAATATCATTCAGTGTCCCCAGTGCTAGAGGTCTCCCCTCGTCCTCAGAAGCGGGGCTGCCCTGCTCTCACTCCTGATGCGAACCCAAGATGGGATGTGAGCAGGACGTGCCTCCAGGAGAGGGGACCCCCGGACGCCTCTGAAGGCATGGGGTCGGCACATCTTCCTGTTCATCTGACACTCCTGCTCTGGAGAAGGGACTTGGGGGTCGCTCTGGGCTTTTTCTCTGGGGAAAAGTGGAGCGCCCACCTGGGCCCAGGCTGTGTGCCCGAGAATCCTGGGAAGGCCTCTTGCTCTGGGTCCTTGGGCCACTTGCCTCCTTTCAGCTCTAGTTTCTCCCCGGTGCACAGGGAAGACTCATTCTAGTTCCTTCCTCAACCTGCACGGGTGTCAGTATGCCTCCCAGATGCACTTGCCCTCCCTCAGAGATTGGGGGTTGGCTTGCTCTGGCGACCCACACAGGCAGCCTTCGCTCGGCACGTGGGCTTCCGGACAATTTTCTGGGGGGGGGGGGGGGGGGAGTCGAAGGAAAAGCCCTCGCTGTTCTAGATGTCATGCTAAGATGCTTTACTGTAAACTCATTTTACAGGCCTGAGCCAGGCTCAGCTCAAACCTCATTTGATCTTCTCAACACTTCAACGTATCGTACCTAACATTCCCGAGAGGGTAAATTACTTGCTTGAAGTCACACAGCTAGAAAGTGGTAGTGCGGGGACTTGAGCTGAGCCAGACTGACTCCAAGCCTCATGGCCTTCCCGCTGAGCCAATGAGGCCCTTTGGATGGGACCAGGTGTGTTGTGCTGGCAAAATGGTGGCCTGGAATTGGAAGCCCTGGGTCCCGGTGTCAGCTCTGCTGTTGACCAGCCGTCTGACCTTGACTAAATTCGTTCCCCATCCAGGACCTCAGGGCTCCCATCCACAAAATGAGTGGCAGAGGTGGGTGGTAGGTGCACTAGATAATCTGTGAGGCCTGTCCTCTGCTAAATTCCTAAACCCGATTCTAGAAATACAGAACATGGTCCGTGCTGCCTGCTCGTCTCTGCCCGCTTCCTCTGTTCTCTCTCCTCTCACTTCCTCCCACTGGTGACCGTAACTTGTTCTGCACCCCGCCTCCCTGCTGGGGTGGCTGAGCTCCCCTGACTTTGGGAAGCCCCCCTGCCCACCTCTGCCCCTGGAGAGAACGGCCTGGCTGGGGCCCAGCTGAGAAGTCTCAAGTGCCCTCCTGTCCTCTGCAAGGAAGTATCCTGAGGTACAAAGGCACCGTGGGGAACGTCCGCTCCGCCCTTGGCGCTCCTCCCATTCTGGCTCCCCCGTGGCTGCCGCCTGCCTTCTGAGGCTATTCTGACTTATCCCAAGTCTTGCTTAGCTCTTCTAAGCACTATCTGTATATTCTCTTCTAATCCTCGGACAATTCCTGTGGAGCAGATACTATAATTTGGCTCACTTTGCAGAGGATAGGCAGCCTGCCCAAGTCCCACAGTTGGTGGCCCAACCGCGGTCCGTGCGCAGGGGCTGTGTCCCTGCCTGTGAGTGGGCATGAGTCAGCCGAAGGGGACAAACGCATCAGAGCAGAGTCCGGGATCGGGGCATCCAGATGAGCTCATTTCTTTCCTTTGTTAGAACAGGTGCCGAGTGCCCACAGACTGTGCGTCGTTCGTACGCGTGTGTTCGTGTTGGAGGTGCTGAGATGGGAGGTGACAACAGGAATAGAAACAAGGTCCCCGTCCTCGCAGAATGGCCGGTCTTAGGGAGGCTCCAAGGCAGGCATTCAGAGTGAAGATCACGCCCTGGAGTGGCCAGCAGGGCTCAGCCTGGCCCTCGGGTGATGGGAGAGGCCCCTGTGGCGATTCCTGAGCTGCTCAGTGGAGAAGGGAGGGGATGTCCCAGTCCCCCTTGTCTTGTGCTCTCACCGCAGGAAGGGCTGTGGGACCTGGGACGGCAGACCCCGAGCCCAGGGCTCTGGCTACGCCCCACCCCCGGCAGAGGGGCTCTGGCAGTCTGACCTGAGTCTCTTCCTCCTGCCTCACCTCTCCATCTATTAGGAGCATCCCCCAGACCACCCTGTGTGGCCCCCAGGGGACCCCACAAAGGGCAAGTCCAGGGACTTTCTGGGGCAAACCCACCTTGATGATAGCATTGTTGTCATCGATCAGTGTGTCGGTCACCTCCACGCGCTTCTCCTCCACCACTTTCTGCAGCACCATGCGGAAAGTCCCTATCAGCCTGTGGACGGGAGAGGGGGCATGGCCACGTCACATGAGAGAGGAGCTCCCATCCCAGGAGGCTGTGGTTGGCTGGGGACCGGGCTGGAGAGACGGAAGGCTCACTCAGGCTCCAGGCTAAGCTTGGAGAAGGTGGCCCCAGAGCCAGGGCTGGTCCTGGCCAGGGCAGCGTGTCCAGGAGCGTACGTGACCCCGACCAGTGTGAGTGGTTGCCTGTGTGAGACCCATTTCCCTGGCGCTCGTGGGCAGAGAACCCCCTGGGGGGATGTCCACAGACTGGGGGCAGGGTACCCCCTGGCTTGTGGAGTTGGGGTTCAGCCGAGACCCTGCCCAGATGCCCAGTGTGGAGGCTACCGGGAAGGGTCCACGAGCAGTATCTCCCCCTTCCGCCGCCCTAACCACCACCAAGGTCTCTACCCGCCCCAACACCACTGGCTCACTGGTCCCGTTTAGTCAGCAATGCCCACACCTGCCTTCTGCAAGCCCATTGAGGGCAAGGGTCCATCTGGTGGCAGGATCCCCATATTCCCAGACAAAGTGCAGGGCTGTGAAGAGTTCAGTCTTGCAGTCGGAGGCGGGGACTTGAAGCCCAACTCTGCCACCAGCCAGTTCCCTGCTTTCCCTGACAATTTAAGCTCTCTCCATCTGTGTTCTCCTAAGGTGAGCTACTAAAATCCCTGCTTCCCAGAGCCGTTTAGAGGGCTGAGAGCCTCAGTGCCAAGTTCTCACCAGAGCGTCTAGCATTCCGTCACAGTCAGCATTCCAGAAGCAATCTGGTTGATATCAAGGGGTGTTGCTATACGTTGAGCCTCTCCGGGGCAGGGGCCATGTTTCCTATTTCCAGCCCCTATTTGAGTTTCGCAGCACACAGGAGATCTCAGTATCTGCTGGCTGAATTAATGACCAACAGTGGGTGCCTAATAAATGCTGACCGAGTTGACTTGAACCCCATTTCACCCTGCCGTTTGAAGGTTATTGCTCTGGGAGAGAACAGGGTAGTCGGAGAGATGTCCTCACGTGGTGATTCCATATGGGGTAGATTAAAATGTGCACACCATTTCTGGTTGAAAGGGCAGAGACCGAGGGGAGCACCTGCAGCGCGTGAGAGCCAGAGGGGGCCTTGGGATCACCCGGTGCCGCCCTTGATTCACGGAGGAAGGAAGGCGAGGCCGAGAAAGCAGGAAGGGACTCCGTTAACCGATGGCAATTTCGAGCCAGGTGAGGCATCAGGTGAATTCTGACTTTAATGGACGTATCTGATGTCTGTATTCTCCTGAGGAACACGGAGGGTGAACACTATATATATATATATATATATATATATATATATATTTTTTTTTTTTTTTTTAAAGGGCCTCTTTTCTGTGTGAGGAGGGGAAGTGGTGGGAGCAGCCACCGTGGATAAATATGAAATGCTTCCCCCTGGTGCTCAGAGCCCTCTCGGCCGGCTGTTCTACCTTCTTGAGGGCGAGACTGTTCATACCATTCCTCTACTGGAGACCCCTTACCAGGCTTCTAGGTGCTTCTCAGACCCAGCCCAGCAGACGCCTCCTCCCTGGCTGGGTCCTGGCCTCTCCCCGGCTTGAGCAGTGCCCAGAGAGGAGAAGTGCCGGGATGGGATCGCGGTGGGGGCGGCGGGGGTGGGGGGGAACCTGGGGGAGCTGTGGATACTCAGGCACAACTTTCCTAGAAGACGCTCCTAGCACCGCAGAGGATCAGCAGACATGCTGTAATGTGGCAAGACACCCCCAGGGGGCAGGGTGGTGCTAACTAAGGTCAGTCTCAGACCTTGGACTTGGAGGGCCCAAGAGGAAGGCTTGTCCAGCATTTTGTTCAGGAGGGTCCCTCAGCATCCTCCCTGACATGCAGTCTCCAGCCCCTGCTAGACACCCTGTGATGGGGATCTCACTACTCCACGGCTGCTCTCACTGCTTTAACCCCACAGTGAGCCAAGGTCCACCTCTTGGCAAATTCCCCACTCTTGGTCTAAGCCTTGTCCACACACAGACTCAGTGCCATCCTTAACAGAAGCAGTGTAGACAGTGGATAGAGCCTGGGCTCTGGAGTCAGATAGAAGTGGGCTCACCTTGCAGAATCTAAGGGGGAGATTCCACCACCTGACGGCTGTGTGACTTTGGCTAGCTCTCCAACCTCTCTGAGCCCCACGGCTCTCCAAAGGAGGTGGCACTACCCGCTTCACTGGGTGGCGGTGAGAGTATTCAAGTGAAATTCCTCCGACACCGCCTCACTCAGACACCTGGACCTCCTCCCTCCCCTGAGTGTAGGGCTTGCTGTCTGGAGGGCCCAGGCAGTGCCGGTCTTCTCTGCAGGATGGGCTCTGCGGGCAGGTGCACAGCCTCACAGAGCCAGGGTCTGTCTGTGCCCAGAGGGTGGGGCTGGGACCCTGGGACCCTGGGACCCAGGGGGTGGCTTGGGGTGGGGGTGGGGGGTTCACCCCTAACAGAGTCCCCCAACCTCCTCCAAATGAAAATAAAAAATAGTCTTCTTTGAAAAGGACAATTGCTATTACCCCAGTCATAAGTAAAGTATGAAGGAAAGCGTTTTTATAAAACTTTGCATTTTTTCGTGGGTCCGTCTGTAACGCACCGCTCTAAGCAACACCAGGGTGCCTGCTTTGAAAACACAACTTTAACACAAGTGTCCTAATACTGCTTCCGACCGAATGCCACCCCTCAGCTCCCTCCGTAAACACTCTCTGGGGAAGGAGCTAGTGCAGGAAGCCCCAGCTGTGGCCTGTGTGGTGACCCCAGAGACCACCCCGTCCGGCCGGGCTGCCCTTTGTCCGCCCGGCTGCAGACTCATGAGGTCGGCCTGTTGCCTCTTCTCCCCTGGGTGGGTCAGCACGGAGGGGCGGCCTAGGAGAGGGGGCCCAGGGTGACCAGGCAGGGTGGGGTCATGTGCCCTTGGACACATGCAGCGTCCTTTCCCCTGGGAAGTGGAGGTGTGAGGCCGTTTGTCCTGTGAAAGGACAGGAGCACTGGCCTGGGGGTCAGGAGGTCTGGGTTGAAGACCACCTCTGCCCTGACCCTGCCGTGTGATCCTGGGTAAGAGCCCTTTCTGGGCCTCAGTTTCCCCCAAGACTGTTAGATGAAGGACCTGGGACCTGATGTTCTGTCCTCTGAAAATCATGCTTATGTGGCCCATGCAAGTTACCCGTCACAAAGAAGGCACCCCCTGCAGAGCCCATGTCCCCCCCCCGCCCCCAGGAGGCTGGGCTGGCCTCCACGGAGTGGCCAGGTAGGCTGGGCGAGGGCAGAATTCCTGGATAATTAGCCAGCAGGGAGGGGGCCTCAGGCATGAATGGGTCCACAGACTGACCACAATAGAGCGGCAACCAGGCACCAGGGCCTGTCAATAATTCATTGCTTTCCCCCTGGGAGCCCGTGTCAAGTGCCCAAGGTCTGGCCAGGCCTCCGCCGCTCTCCTGGCCCCTGAATTATTCAGAAGTCCCAGGAGACTGGCACCTGCATCAGGCCATCCCCCCCGCCCCCCGCCCCAAAGGTTCTGGACAGTTCTGGACAGGTGAAGGGGGACACACAAGATCCTGTGGACCCAGCACCTTGTTCTCACAGGAGGCCCACGGTTCCTGAAGGAAGACCTCATTCAAGGTGGGCCAGGCAGACCTACCATGTCTCTTCCTCCTGGAAGCCCCTACAGCCACTGGGTAAGGGGCCAGTGTCCAAGCCACCCTCTACTTCTAGAGCAAGTCTTTCTCTGAGATAGGTGGTAATGGGCTCAGGGCCATGAATCCTGTTTCTCATCCCAGCTTCCTTTACCTCAGTTTCCCCGACTGCCTCAATCATGTGACCTGGCTCTCACCCTGGAGGGTGCCATGAGTTCTTCAAGGAAGAAAGGCCATTTGGATTTCTGCTTCCAGACCCTTCCACCCTGCATACCTTCTGCCTCCTGACCCCATGGGGGCATTTATTCATTCATTCATTCATTCATTCATTCCACAAAGTAATTGGGGGCCTGCCCGGGGCCAGGTATGGCAGGTGTGGCTTTGCTGGCTGGTGAGCCCGGTGCGAACCCCAGAGGCTTCCCCTCCGTTCGGCTGCCCCTTGGGAAGCAGACTGGCAACTGCAGGGTGGGCAGACCTGGGCCCCACCCGACTCCGAGTACCTTGCCCTCTCACGCCGGCCCCCAGGCTGGCCTGTGTCAGGATGGGCTCTGTCTGTGCTCTCCACGAGACGGGCACCCCTTTCCCCATCCCAGCCCTGTAGCCAACAGTGTTTCAACATTCCATGGGCTTTCCGAGGAAATGAGAGGACCCTCTCCCTTCAGGCCCAGACCTCCCTGGGAGGGGTTTCCTGCCTCCTCGTGGGTGGGTCAGGGAGGATGGGAAGAGAGGAAGAGGGGAGAATTAGGTTAGAATCTCTCCTCTGTCTCCTCTGGCATCTTAGAACAACTAATTGAAGCCTGAAGTTTCGGCGTACTCACTGGGATGGTGTTCAGTTTCTCAATTTAACAAATATTCTTCGATTTGTTTGTAGCCAGGATTTGGCTATTTCTAAGGGTTTCCAGCATTTTGGGGGCTGTCTAGCAGCTTCGCTGGAAACAACGTACCGATCTCTTTCATGTCTGTAGCTTCTACAATCGCTGCTCACAAATCCTGGTTTCTGGAAGGTCCAGGATTAGGAAGGAGACGAGGAAGCAGAGAGCCTTACCCCGGCCCTTTCACTGTCCAGTGGCCTCACTAGCCTCTCTGAGATTCAGTTTCCCTACCTGTGCGGCAAGGGTTGCCCTGGCTGACTTCTGAAGCTTCTGGAAGCTCTGACATCTGCGTGTGGGTCCTTGCTGGGGTGCCTGGATGTCTCTCCTGGTCCCCAGCTTCCAATTCTTCGTTTTCCACGCCCACTTCGGTCTGCGTGTGGGCCCTTCTCTGTTCCTATTTCTTCTGTCCTCACAGGTCACCTGATGTCTCATCCCAGGGAAGAAGGTTTTGCTTCCTCTTGGGGGCCCCTGGTGGGGTATCTCACTAACTTCTCTTGTGGATACCAGAAGCAGCTGCCTGAATGACGTGCCACCCCAAGAGGCCAAGGGGAGGCCTCTCTGCCCTAAATTTCTCCCCTGTGGGCCTGCCAGCAGGCTGAAATTCCCATATCCCATGCTCAGCTGAGATGTCATGGGCTTCCAATAAAAACCACAGAATCCTTGAAGTCTATGTTGTTCAGCCCATCTCAATCCAACACCCCCTTACAACATCATGGTTCACTCTCTGCTTGGCCTTCCCAGTAATGGGGAGCTCGTTACTTCCCAAGAGCTCATTGGTTGGAGAGCTCAAGCTACCTTTCAGCTGTCTACTGTCTCCCAGCAATGCACCCTCGTCCTGGTCCTGCCTCTGGAAATGGCAGAAAACTTTCTTGGGGAACAGGCATGGTGACTTAGTCTCTCATTTTAATACCTCTAGCGACCACCACAGTGTCTGTCTGGTACAGAATATTTGCTCAGTAAGTGTTTGATGAGTGACTAGAAGAGTGGGTGGATGGATGGGTGGATGGATGGATGGATGGATGGATGAATAGATGGAAGGACGGACCAAAGGATAGATGGAAGGATGGATGGAAGGATGGATGGAAGGATGGAGGGATGGAAGAATGGACAGAAGGTTGGATGGAAGGATGGACAGAAGGATAGATATATAGATGGATGAACATGTCCTCTATGGTTTTCTCCTCCAGTTCTCATCCTCTTGTCAGATTTAAAGTCCCTTCCCTTGGCAACCACAAAAAGCTGACTACTGGTATTCTCTCCAACCAGCATGAGGGCATTGGAACCCTCCTCTCTCAACACCCCTGCTCTGATTGTCCTCCTTCTATTAAAATTACCTAGGATTATGTCCCCCCCTTTTTTATTTGTAGTCTCCTCCCGCTGTTGAGTAATGCACTCTCAGCGAGTAGTATTTCCATGTTTTTCTGGACATGTTGCTCTTCAGCCATGACACCCTCTAGCTGGTATAAAAGCAATTGGTTTTTGACCCCCCAAATGGGACTTTACATTTCTTATGTGCAGCCACCATTCCAGACTCCTCAAGTCATTCTGAATTCTGAGAAGGATGGGCACTACTTTTACTGAACCCTTTGTAGTGATTGTGCTCATGTCATAGGCGTGTTCATTGGAGAATGTAAGCTCCATGAGGGCAGGCACTCGCTATCCTCAGCACCTAGTTCAGTGCCTGACACACAGTGGGCACTTAGTTAACATTTGGGGAATGAATGAATGGACATCTATATCCTTTAATTCTCACAGCTTCCTTTGAGATAAGTACCTACCCTTTCTACATGTGAATACATCAAACACAGAGAGGTTATATAACCAGTTCTGGGTCACACAATAGATGACTGAACTGGAAATCTGAGGTGAGGCTTGCCTGACTCCCAAACCACCACACCAAACTGCCTCAGAGCCTCTCGTCCTCCCCGGGTATGACAAGTTTGTCCTCAAGGCTACAGAGGCCCATTATATTATCTGCCATTATATTAACTCCTCTGCTGGGTAACTGTCACCCAGGATGGTGTAAATGGGGAGACTTACAGAAGGGGACAAGAAGCTGAGGTGGGGCTGGGGACAGAAAGGGTGAAAGG